CCTGTGGAGGAAAAATGATTAAATTGCTGGGGAATGGATACCAACTCATGATTGAACTTGAATCAGTGCCCAGGGTGATCACTGAGTGGATGAGAACCAATAAGGTGCCCCAAAATCCAGTCCACAAAAAATGGGAATTCTATTAGTGGATACTGCATTTGCATGAAGACAGTACTGAAGAGAATAGCCTTCCCCTGAATGAGTAAGTTCAAATATTGGAGGTGGAGGGTGATTTCAGATCTGATATCATTGGAAAAATACACATTTCTGTATTCCATGTTCTAATGCTGTATTAAATTTGAGGGTACAGGCTGCCAGTAACATTCTAAATAGATTTCCCTTTCTTTCTCCTTAAATCCTTCTTTGGGGAAAAATAAAACAATTGAGAGCCATTTTGGTGTAGTGGTGAAAGTGCTGATGAATTCTAGTCCCAGCTTAGGTATGAAAGCCAGCTGAGTAACTCTGCATCAGTCACTCTTTCTCAGCCCAATCCACTTCATAGGGTAGCTGTTACGGGGCAGGTAGAAGGAGAAAGAAGTTTTTTCTTTTTTTTTTCAGTAGATAGAAAGCATAGCTGAGTCTCTCACAGCTGGTTTTTCAAGGTTGCATAAATCTTATCTTATTAAAAATAACCTGTAAAAGCTTCTAATTCAATTCATCATTATGGAAGAAAATCAAGAAGGAGAAAGAAGTACTGGTATGCTTCTTGCCGAGAGAGGGGAGGGGAAGAGAAATTAAAAAAAAAAACTTCAAACAAAATATCTACTTCCTTTCCATTCTTACCATTCTGCCTCTTAGTTTTGTATCTACATATAACTGGAATGCTGCTTAGAGCCAGTCTTTTTAAGGTTTATCTAGTAGGAGAGTAAAAACCATGGCCAATCATCCACATATATCTCTCGAACCAGGCCAGAATTGTGGCTCCACGTACTCCCAGTGTAGTCAGGACATTAGTAGCTCACATCCTCTGTAGCCTTTGGAACAGAGGTCTCCAACCTTTTTGATTTGGCGGCCTGGAAAGGGAGGCAGGCACTGCTACATGTATGGGTACAAATGGGCTGCGTGCATGCACATGCAAAAATAAGCCCCATGTGCCCAGACACACAAATGGCCATGCGTGAGCACATGAGCACATGCAAATGGCCACACGTGAGCAATTGAGCACATGCAAATGGGACTGCACAGGCACAAGTGCTGCAAATGGGGTGGCGCTGGTGGGACGCTATAGGCAGCACTAATGTCAGTGGGATACTCTGGGGCGGGGCGACGCTAGCACCGGCGGGATGCTTGGTGTGGCGCTAGTGCCGGTGGGACGCTTGGGGCGGGGTGGTGCTAGCGCAGGTGGGATGCTCAGAGCGGTGCTAGCGTGAGTGTGGGGAGTGAGTACATGCCCGTGTGCACGTGCACTGGCCATCCCTTTACATGGCCCAGGACCAAGTGGCCACGGCCACAGGTTGGGGTCCCCTGCTTTAGAAGACCAAAAACAAAAAACAAAAAGTAAGCTCCTGACACAAGAAAGTTGCTGATCGCAATCTCAAATGAATATTCATCGCAGGTGGGTATGCAACTTCCCTATTTTCTTTCTGCAAATTAGCACATTAATTTCCTCAAAGAGATCCATTTGATTGATTAGTGGATAGCACTGTTAGGATTTGTGGGGGGTCAGTACAGTTGTTCCACCCTGAAAATCAATTCGCAAAATACTAAATATATTGGAAAATATTACTATCAGGATTCTTATTAGCTGGTATCTTGCATAAATAAAATGGAAATATCAAGGCTGAGGTGGCGCAGCAGTTAGAGTGCAGTACTGCAGGCCACTTTAGCTGACTGTGTTCAGCAGGTCAGCGGTTCAAATCTCACTGGCTCAAGGTTGACTCAGCCTTCCATCCTTCCGGAGTAGGTAAAATGAGGACCCAGATTGTTGGGGGCAATGTAAATATATATATACATTGCTGACTGGTGTACACCGCTTAGAGAGTGCTTGCACTTAAAGCAGTATATAAGTCTCATAAATAAATAAATAAATAAATAAATAAGGCCACAGACCTCTTTACATAAATGTTATTCATGTTGGTTCTAGTGTTCTAATTTTTAAATATAATGTTGAGCCTAGAGAAGCCTAAATATTTTTTTTTCATACGACTCTCATATTCAACTGAGTGTGAATGAGCTATAAATATATAGTGCTTTGTAGTGAGCTGTAGTATATGTATGTAGAATGTGCCTCATGGTCTAACCTAGTATTTCAAAATATGCAACCTCTTTAGTGAAATTCCAGAATTAGCTAATATAGGTTTAAATTATGGGTTGACTTATAAAGCTATTTATCTTGTGTTATTAGACCTTCAGGAACTGAAAATGTCCTGAAAGGGCTTCCTTTGATTAAAAACAGGAGACTATTTTTTAATGGAAAAAATTAGGTTCTTAAGCAAATTAGCATTAATAATTGTGGGTGGATTGACTGGCAATCAGCAGTTATGGTGGGCTTGTTTTATAGGCAACAGTAACATAAGGGAGATTTTCAGAGTACAGAGAAATGAATGCCCCTTGTTCTGTGGGTTCCAGTAAAACAGGGTGTGGTCGTTTTGACATTCTTCCTGCAAGCTTACAGTTTCTTCACATTAAAATCCACTCACCATTAACCACCTTAAAATAGATAGCAAGCATTAGTTCCCTTGTGTTTTTTTATTTTTTTATTTTTTTTTTCTGTTCAGCAAGCAGATCGCAGCAGGAGACATGGTAAATTGACAAAGCAATGAAAAGGAGGGAATGGGAATCAAGAAAAGAAAAATAAAGAAAAATGAAAATGGTTAATGTTCTATACCTGAGGCAGTGGTGGGATTCAAATATGTGAACAACCGGTTCTCTGTGTGGGATGCTGCTTCCAGAAGTCCGTTCTGGGCCTGGGCAACAAAAAATTAGCTACTGGTTCTGTTGAATCCCACCACTGAATCCCACCACTGACCTGAGGTCTCCAAATATGGCAACTTTAAGGCTTCAGAATTCCTCAGCCAGCCAGCCATGCTGGCTGGGGAATTCTGGGAGTTGAAGTCCATAAGTTTTAAAGTTGCCAATTTGGAGACCCCTGTTCTATACACATGTATATTAATTCAACATTGTTTTTCAACTTTGCCTTTTTTTATTGCTCCTTTCTGGCTTTATTGTCACAATCTATTGTTAATTAGGGATTATATGAAAGTCCCCAAGATTAAATTTTCTACCAATTTTAAAGAGCGAACACTTTGAGAGAACCGTGAACCGTATTACTCGTTGTTCTTTCACACAAAGAAAACTTCAGCAAGTGAACTTCAGCAAGTTACAAAAAAAAAAAACTTTATTTATCACATTTCTGTTTTTAACACGCCTATCTACCTCAGAGAACAAATGGATCTGGAATGGTAACTACTGTAGCTGGGCTGACTGCTAAGATCATGCCTGATTGGAGGAAAAGGCTGGTCTGATCAGGCCTTGTCCAGTCGTATTTTCTGTGACTCAGCAGAGGGCAGTAGTTTTCTAGAAATCATGTCAAGCTGGAAAAATGCAAAGTGCCCATCTTTTACCCATTTGTTTTCTCCTTGGCTTTTCAAAAATTCTGGCTAAATCATTATCTTAAGAATTGTACGAGACTCAAACAACAGACAACACACACAACACATAATTGTTCCACCAAGTAAAGCTATAAAAGCATGAAAGTTACAAGTGTTTAAAGCACAATCCTGCTCATGACTATCTGACGAGATCAGCCCGGAAAAGAAAACAGGTTCATGTGGTTCATTCACCGTGACAGGTTTCTGAGTGCAAAGTTTTGGGTTTAAACCACGGGTCCCAATCCCTGGTCTGTGATGTGGCCCCAGTCTGCGGCATGCCAGAAACCGGACTGTGCAAACAATTAACCAGTGGAACAACCTGCCCCCAGAAACGGTGAATGCTCCAACGCTGGAAGTTTTTAAGAAGAGACTGGACAGCCATTTGTCTGAAATGGTATAGGGCAGGGGTAAGCAACGTTGGCTCTTTTATGACTCGTGGACTTCAACTCCCAGAATTCCTGAGCCAGCCAAGCTGGCTCAGGAATTCTGGGAGTTGAAGTCCACGAGTCATAAAAGAGCCAACATTGCCTACCCCTGGTATAGGGTTTCCTGCCTGAGCAGGAGGTTGGACTAGATGACCTCCAAGGTCCCTTCCAACATTATTATTAGTTTTAGTATTAGTATTGTTATTAAGTAAAGCCCCACCCATGGGAAACAGGCAGGCAGCATGTGAAACTATGCTCCCTCTGACTACGGAAAAACCCCTCTCCACAAAACTGGTCCCTGGTGCCCAAAAGATTGGGGGGGCCACTGGTTTAGACCACAGCCAGAATGTCTTTCTGAGGAACTTTGGGAGCTCAGCTGCCATTCCAGCAAACCCATTCTGTTACTTACCTTCCGTTTTTGCTGCCTGCCACCCACACAAGTACAGACCGCATGGTCTGGAAGTCTATTTTTGTGGTGGAAATCAAGCATACTTTCAGATTCCTCCGTGCAAAAGAGTGGAGGGTTAGACTCTGCTTCTGTTAGGATACTTTTTTTTTTTTTTTGTCTCAACCTGAGTTTCTTATTTTTCCAAGAAAGTTCTGGTTTACTATTTAGCCCTCCCTCCCCTAATGAACCCAGGGGTTAGGGTTTAGCTTTGTTGCTAGAACTGGGTCACTTATAGAAGGATGCAAAGATTTGAAGGAATACATGCATACTTTCCAAAAAATACATGTAAAGCAGCAAAACATAAAAATCTATGTGGGAACCAGATATTATGCTGTTGCAGTGCTAAATGGAAAAGTTGGGGAGGAAAATTGACAGAAAAATACAATGCTTAAAAGAAAAAAAATCCACATGATAGATTTTGTTAGTAATACTGGTCCAGTTCTTGGCTCCATTATTATATTTTTGCACCTTTTTATGCAAGGAGTAAATTAATTTCTATAAAAGATCTTGACAATGAGGGAGAATAAACTGCATTACCTCATATAAGGTATCAAGGGAGGGTCCTCTTCTTCTCTCAGCCAGGTTGTTGGAAGTGGATTAAGAAGTTGAGGCAGAGTGGAAATTAAAATCCAACCTCTCCAGATGTCCAGTAATTTAGTGCCGGTCCCCTCTTCTGACTCCTCACCATATTCCTGAATCTCGCAGGCAAGATTGCTGGTGACCTTGACCTAAGGTTAATGTCATACACACTTGCATTCATCTGTGACTTGGCCATGGGTGAGTCAAGCACATATCTCTGAAACCTGGTGAAGAAAGAATATGGCTATATGAGATTTGCACTCCTGGGTTTTGAGTTCTTCAGCAGCCAGGACTCCAAAATAGAATAGGAAAAGTGGCAATGATCTTCTAACACCTTAGATGTGACCAGGGATGCATTCTGGACTCAAACAAGACTGGTACCATTGCCTTTGCATCCTCTTGTTTTGTTTTCCTTAGAAATATTTCACACTTTTTCCCCAGTCAATGAGATTGACACCTACATTGGGGTAGGTGATGTTTGAATAAAAATCTATCTTACTATGCTTCATAAACTAAAGCAGAGACTTTGTCTGACCAAAAAAATTCAAGATAATCCAAGATAACCTCCAAGATAATTCAGCTACACCAAACAACTGAGCTAAATGTACAAGGGCAATTCGGAAATAAACCTCCGTTTGGTTATCAATGACAGACACTCACAGATACAGAATGTTTATTATACACATTAGAAAACTACAACATTACATTACTTTTCAATATAATTGCCATTCAAATTGAGGCAGTTGTCATAACGTCTTATAGAGTTTGAAATTCCTTAGTAGTAGTCACTTGGCACCAAATCTGGACTATGGGGGGGGGGTGATTAAAAATATCCCAACGGAACTGCTTCAAAAGTTCTTGGGTGCATCTAGCGGTGTGCAGTCGAGCATTCTCGTGAACCAACACCACACTGGAAGTCACCATGCCCAACGCTTGTTATGGCCTGAGTTTTCGTAACCTTTCACAGTAGACTTCTGAATTGATGGTCGAACCACGCTCCAGGAACTTCACTAGCAGTACTCCTTTGGCATCTTCACATTTGACAGGATTTTCTATGGCACCATCTCTGGTGTGGTGTCAGTTCACAATAATGTTCACCCGCACATCACTAGATGCACTCAAGAACTTTTAAAGCAGTTCCATTGAGATGTTTTTGATCACACACACACCCCATAGCCCAGATTTGGCGCCAAGCGACTACTACTAAGGAATTTCAAACCTTGTAAGACATTATGACGAATGCCTCAATTTGAATGATGATTATGTCAAAAAGTAATGTAATGTAGTAGTTTTCTAATGTGTATAATAAAGGTTCTGTATCTACAAGTGTCTGTTATTGATAACCAAATGGAGGTTTATTTCCGAATTGCCCTCGTATCTTGGCAAATTGTTTTCCATGCATTGTTTTGTAGCCAGTCTTATTCAAAAGAAAATATTTTTATGGCATTATTTCTTTAGGAATGCTTGACTGTGCCCATGGATATTACAACGTGAGATGAATTCTGTACAAAGGGTGTGTGAATGAGAAACAGGATTATATTTTGCAGTCTGAAGATTGTTAAGGCTTCCAAGAGCAGAATAATTTTGTCTGAACACTCTAGTGCATGGAATCTGCTTTTATAGAATGTGAGGAATTGCACTCTACACAATGAGAACAAACACGCAAACATGTTTGTATATCTATGAAAAAAAATATTCATGAGGAGGCCATAGGAATTTTGTAAATACTGGAGAAGTACTCATGTCCAAATTTAAACTACTGCAGTAGGAGATGTGTCTCATCACTGCCAATTCTTAAGAGAAAAGGTTACATTCCACTTTAGCCTGGTCAGCAGCTGCACCCCTGCCAGTCAAAGCAAGAGAACATATTATGCATGTTTGGCTATAGTTGTGTGTCAAAGGGAACATTAAAAAAACCCTTCAGTATTCCATTTGAGTATGCCAGGGATCCTAGCAAAGTACATTTGTTTGCTGGACATAGCAAACATGGCCTTTTTCGTGCCATGGGGCTGTCCAATGGTCATGCCAATGTTGTCATTCCCTTGCTAGCATTGTTGTTGTTCTGGCTGATATCCTCAGGATCTCTCCCCAAGCCTCACCCCCCCACACACACCCTTTGTGACCAGCTTTTCTAGTCACATCTGAGCAAAATTAATTTTGCATGTGAGAATTTATCTTTAGCATGGCCTCTGGGGGACCACCAAAAATACAGCATTTCTGAACCATTTTGAAATGCTGCCACGTGCTACTGAAGTTCATTATAAAAAGATGTTGAGATTCTGGAAAGAGTGCAGAGAAGAGTAAGAAAGATGATTAGGGGGCTGGAGGTTAAAACCTATGAAGAAAGGTTGCAGGAATTGGCTACGTCTAGTTTAAAGAAAAGAAGGACTCGGAGTGACATGATAGCAGTGTTCTAATATCTCAGGGGCTGCCACAACCTATTCTCCAAAAAACCTGAAGGCAGGACGAGAAGCAATGGTTGGAAACTAATCAAGGAGAGAAGCAACCTAGAACTAAGGAGAAATTTCCTGACAGTTAGAACAATTAATCAGTAGAACATCCTGCCTCCAGAAGTGGTGAGTGCTCCAACATTGGAAGTTTTTAAGAAGAGACTGGACAGCCATTTGTCTGAAATGGTATAGGGCAACCTTGACAACTTTAAGACTTGTGGACTTCAGCTTCCAGAATTCCTCAGCCAGCATAGAATTCTGGGAGCTGAAGTCCACAAGTCTTAAAGTTGTCAAGGTTGCAGGTCCCTGGTATAGGTGGGGTTGGACTAGAAGACCTCCAAGGTCCCTTCCAGCTCTGTTATTCTGTTCTGTTCTGACAATGGATCAAATTATAATTTCTTAAATGGTCTATTCTGTTCCAATTTTAGCCACTCTCTTTACTGTGGTCATAAATTGAAGTCTATCTCAACTTGCGATCAAAATTGGGGCCAGAATTTCCATTGCTAAGTAAGGCTATTAAATGTTATGCCTGATTTTATGATATATGTATATTTTGCCCTGGTTGTTAAGTGAATCATTGCAGTTAAGTGAATCATGCAGTCATTAAGCTGGTCCAGCTTCCCCCATTGACTTTGCTTGTTGGAAGCCAGCTGGGAAGTCACAAATGGTGATCACATGATCCTGGGACTAGGCAACTGTCATAAATACATGTTGGTTGCAAGCATCCAAATGTTGATCATCTGAATGTGGGAGTGCTGTCACAGTCATAAGTGCAAGGACTGGTTGTAAATCACTTTTTTTCAATCCCATTGTAACTCCAACAGTCACTAAACAAATGGTGGCGAGTCGAAGACCGTCTGTATCTATATTTTGCCAATAGCCCTAGGAAGTCCTGCTTACTCCTCAATGAACTGCACTGAGATACAGCTCCATCTTTGGTAGGGAGTGAAATATCCTGATTTTTTTAAAAAGAAAAAGAAAAAGCCAACCTCTGAAAATGTTTTTCTAATTGTTTTTCCCCAAAATAGCTAATACTTTCTTTGTGAGAGTGATGCCCATCCATCTATGTCAGGGATAGGCAACCTTGGCTCTTTTACGACTCGTGGACTTCAACTCCCAGAATTCCTGAGCCAGCCATGCTGAGGGGAAAGGGAGAGGTTTCCATGCTGAGCCACGCTGGCTCGGGAATTCTGGGAGTTGAAGTCCACGAGTCATAAAAGAGCCAAGGTTGCCTACCCCTGGTCCATGTAATTTAGATACAATACAGAAAATCCAACATTCCGAAATTGTTTTCTATCTACACATATATAAAACTTGTTAATGCTTTTCTACAGCTTCAGAGAAGGGGCAAGCCATTAAACATATCTACAGGTCCCTCCCCCAAAAGAAGTTACCACACAACTTCCATACTAATGTCACAGATTTTCCCACTTTGGTATAATTTTTAATAAACAAAAGACTCAGAACCTAGAAAAGTTGTAAATCAGTACTTTGATTCACCTGTTCTTTCTTTTGCCTTTCAGGCCCATTATTTTCTTCTATAGATCAAGCTCTTTACCAGCTATTTGGAGAATAGATAAAAACCCATATATGAACTTCTCTGCTTTAGATGATGTGATTTTATGTATGTCAGGATAACTGATTAACCCAACAGAGACGTCTGTATTATATCACATAGTTTGTATTTTGTCTGTAGGATTGACCTCTATTTCAACATCAGACAATTTTTTAAAAGGTAACTCAATTTATTTCAGTATATTTATTTTGTTTTATCGTAAAAGCTAAAATACAAAACAGAAAAGCAAACAACCATTAACAAGGACATATTATCGAGAGACTTGAAGAAGTGATTGCACAGTCCAGAAATACAAGGAAGTGAGAGAAAGAAGCTCAAAGTAACCCTGACTCAGTGAGGTTCAGTATCAGAAAGGAGAGGTTTATTTATTTATTTATAAATATGGTAAGAAAGGGAAGAGGGAAACTTGGACAGACCTTTATGATTTTGTTATTATATTTTACATATAATAAACAATAAAGTAGCATTCCTAGAATTTCTGCAGAGTCTGTTTTCGGGGCCTGCCGTAAAGGCTGAAAGAATGCTTCCTACTTCTTTCCTTATTCTAGCCCTTACTCCCACATTTTAATATATCTATATAAATAAAAATGTAAATGTTCGTTTGTTCAAAATCTTAAATCTCCGAAAGTTCTTCACCGATTGGTTTGAAATTTTGATACAACGTTGCATTCAGATACGCACGTGTTTGTATATACCTATATTATATAGATGTCACACCTGTGACAGGTAAAAACATGCTTTTTTGAAAAACAGTGCCATCTGTTGGACGTAAAAGCAACACACGCTATGATTTCAGACAATCTCTATATCTGTACAGACAATGGAACAACAAAAAATATTGTATACCCACAAGCATTGTGAAATTAAACATATTACAAACGTGCGGTTTCTCTTTTCTTTCTTTTCCATTTAACCAGACTGAGCTACAGCAACGCGTGGCTGGGTACAGCTAGTATTTAATATAACTAAAAGCATATTGCCATTTTCTTTGCCACAATTCTAAGTATGTTTTCTTCTTTGACTTGCACTGGGTTTTAAGTGTATCATTTTGAGAGGTTTCGGTACAAGAATGCCGTACAGAGTAGAGATAATTAGATAATAATTAAACTGAACTTACTAAAGGTACAAAAGGCAGGTACAGTAGCAAGATTCTCTAGTATTAAATGCATCACTACAATTATTTTGCTTTACCAAGAAA